GAGATAGGGCCAGGTCTGGCCCAGAAGAGCCATGGGGACCCTGGCTATTGGTGTGCACTCCTGTGGCTTCAGGGTCTCCCCAGGGGAGTGCGTGGCAGTGGAGGCATGAGGGTCTGGTCGGGAGCATGCAGGTGCACAGCTGGGGGGTTAGCTGCACATGTGCTGAGTGGTGGAGGCCAGTGACCAGAGCCAGAGCCAAGTTCAGGTCCACGAGCAGCTGCGAGGGCCTTGGTAGTTGGCCTGCCCTTCCGTGGCTGCAGGGTCTTGCCCCGGGTGTGCTCACAGCCGTAGAAGCCTGTGATGAGGGTCAGGCCGGCAGCGTGCAAGGGCACAGCTGGAGGGGTCCGCCCCAAGCACATGCACAGAAGTGAGGGTCACCCACGGGGGTCCAGGCTGGCGTCTTGTACTTGTGCGGCTGCAGAGGCCTGGGCTGGCTGCTGGTGGGGATGCTGGGCCCCAGTGGGGCAGTGGGAGGTAAAGAGCAGGGAGGGGCCCAGGTGGCTGGTGTCTGCGAATGTGAGCGTCTGTGGGGCAAAAACCAGTGACATCTGCAGGGGCTCTGTGGCCGCTGTGCTGGCCATCAGTTACTTTGGTGGCAAAAGGCGCTGGGGTCTGCAGAGCAGGTCACAGGGAACCACAATCATTTCTGCTGCGTGGCTGATGCTAGGAGCCCTTGCTCTTTCTCCTTGTTTCTCCCCATCTCTATTCATCTCAGCTTTGCCAGTCTCTGGGTGGGGTGAAACCCAAGTGGGTCCTTTGCTCAGTGCCCCGAAAGGCTGGGGAAGCTGGCGGTTCACCCCAGTCTCCCTTTCTTGGTGAGGGGAACTCCTTCTAGTTGGGGAGGCTCACTCTTGGCCCTGAGCAGTGCTGGCCTGGGGAATGGGATGACGCAGGCAAAATGAAGCCCTTCTTCCTTCCCTTTTTCCCTGCAGTATTCTCAGGTTTTTTGCTCCACTGTGTTGCTGGAGTTTCTTAAGTGGACTCCCGAGCTCTCTTTGATCGTGGATCACTGTCTAATTGTTGATCTTCCTGGGTGATGGGGGCTGGGGTCTCCTACTTCGCCATCTTGGTCACATCACCCCAACACATAACACCATCCTGACTTTCACTAGAACTAGTTATTCTCAAAGTTACAGCGTCCAGTGCCCCAGCAGCTGGGAGAGCTTGGGAAATCATTGGGAACAACCCACTAACTGTACTGAGATGGAAACTAAGACTCAGGAGGATCAACTTTCCTCAGTTCATGATCTCACTTGCTGGTCACACTTAAGACTAGAGATCAGGCACTAGGGTAAAAAACCAATTCACTCTCATCCTGCTTTTCCAGCTGGTCAGATCCCACTTAAATTACTCTGACCACAATTGAAATTTATTTCGCTGATTGAAAGGGCACTGAGAAGCATCTACTTTTAAACTGAATCCTTTATTAGGTCGGTAAGGCGAGCAAGGGGACAGAGCAAGCCAACGAGGTCCCTTAGAGTGTGCTGGCCCCTCAGGTGAAACCCAGATTCGTTTTCCTGTCCCTAAACCCAAGGGGATTGGTGTGCAGCAGGTCAGATTGTTGATGCAACAAGGTAGCTACAGAAGTAGGAAGTACCTGGCAGGAGGTAGATGGGTAGATAACAATATTTATTTTCTAAAGAGCTACTGGATTGAGTCATTAGAACTCGTATTTATAAAAAAATTTGCTTTCCATTTTGAGGCTTGTTCCCAGGGCTTTCTCACACTTCATGGCTCTCTGCCTTTCACCCACAAACCCAGTCACTACTCAGCAAGAGAGCAGGGAAGCTCTGATGGGGAGAACACAAAATAGCTGACATATCTGGGGTATGTACTATGCTTTCTTCCATAGGGTCTGCCAGGAATTCAGTCTGTGCCCGAGTGACACCCCACACCCCGTGCAGGACAACAATAGAAGAATGACGGGCTTTTCTGTTCTCGGTTTTCCAAGGCTCCTTCCCATCCACATGGCACTCATATAACACAGAAGAAAGGTAACGCCACGTTGAAACCGAATGGATGGTAAAAAGAAGTCTACATCTTGTTTAACATAAGACAGCCTTTCAGAACAGGGAGGCAAAAGGGCATAGAAACTAAGTGTATACTGAATTCGCCTATGTCCAGTATTCCGTAGGTCTGATGCTTTGACCCAGAAGTGCTTGTATGTTTTCACCCTGGTCCTCCCCTGTGACACCATGTGCCCCTTTAAGATGGGACCTGAATCTCCTATATGCTGTCCTCCTCCCGCTGTACCAAATACAGCAAGTAAGTGTTTGATAAACGATGCAAAATGACTGACAGGCAATTTTGCTGTGCTGGTGACTGATGATTGTACCAAAAGAGGGAGAAATAAGGTCATTCCTAATCCACACACTCAGTTAAACCCCAGCTGGATATCCAGGTACAGCCCTCCAAGCTTCTCTGTTTGCCTTGGCTCGAGTACCCCTCTTTGCTCGTCACAAAAATTCTCCCTATTCACAAGTGACCCGTTAGCTCTATTGGTAACCAAGTGGCATACGCAACGATTCTCTAACTTCTATTGTTACAACTACCTTAAGCAGCCTGTACTCAGTGGAAGACCCCTGCCATTTAAAACAACAGTTCTAGCATACTGGTGATGGTTTCTTAGCAAATATTACCAAGACAATGCAATGGGACCTTCTCTTCAATTTACTTCCCCAGTCAGACAGTCTTGCAGGGGGTCAACCTTCAACTTCCTTCATTCCTCCTCTCCAGGAAGCTTGTTTCTTTTACGCTACATACATGTTTTTCAGGTTTAACAGTTACCAAGAAAAAGAAGTCCGGGTCTCCTGCTAAATATTCATGGCTGGGCTGTCTTTGGGTCACAGCACACAGCAGACAAACTACCCATTGGCTTCATGAGGGTAGGGGAAGTGTCTTGTTGTTTTGCTCTGTTAATTAGCTATGTCTGGCCCACAGTGGGCACTCAGTAATCATTTACTGATTGAGGGAATACATGCAGGGAGTAATAAAGTAGTGAATCCAGGAGCTACGGGAATCAAGTCCAGGTGACTGGGCCGGTTTTAGAAACATGGAGATCAGGATTCTTGGAAAGAGGAACCAGAGGATTGTGGGAGATACAATTACAGGACAGGGAAAACTCTCCGAAACCCTTAGAGAGGAGGATGTTTAGGAGACCACATTTTGCTCTTACATGAAACGCTGAAAAAGAAAATCCCTGGTTAGAAGTTTAATGTTAATTGGAGCTCTGAGTTATACAGGCACACCTCATTTTATTGTTCTTCGCTTTATTGCTCTTTGCAGATACTGCTTTTTTTTTTTTACAAATTGAAGGTCGGTGGCAACCCTCCATCAGGCAAGACTATTGGCACCATTTTTCCAACAGCATTTGCTCACTTTGTGTCTCTGTGTCACATTTTGGTAATTCTCGCAACATTTCAAACTTTTTCATTATTGTTTTATTTGTTATGGTGATCTCTGGTCAGTGATTTTTACGTTACTAGTGCAAAAAGATTATGACTTGCTAAAGGCTCAGATAATGGTTAGCATTTTTAAGCAGTAAAGTATTTTTTAAATTTAAAGTAGGTACATTTAAAAGAGGTAATGCTATTGCACACTTAATATAACTTTTATATATACTGGGAAACAAAAAAATTCCTGTGACTCACCTACTTTCAATATTCGCTTTACTGCAGTGATCTAGAACTGAACCTGCGATATATCTGAGGTGTGCCTCTACTAGTAATGGCTGAGATTATTTCTGGTCTACTTTACGCCAACACAGTTTACAAACAATAGCTTGATCACTGCAACAACCCTTCAAGGTGGCCACTGATTGTATTTTCAGATAGAGAAATTACATGCAGAGGGTTATATCGCTGACCTAAGTCAACCAGCTAAGCTCACCATCCAGGATTCCAACTTGGTTCTAAGTTTCACTTCTTTCCCCTCCCCACACAGTGCATCACACAGAACAAGCAACATGTCAAACACCTGGCTAGACTGATCTGTGTTTAAAAAAAATTTTTTTTTTAAATTGTGGTAAAAAAACACACTGTAAAATTTACTTTCTTAACCACTTTTAAGTGTGCGGTTTAGTGGTGTTAACTGTATTCACACGGTGTGTAGCATCTCTAGAACTGTTATCTCGCAATATTACACTCTATCCCATTAAACAACAACTCCCCATTTCCCTGTCCCCCAAGCCTCAGGCAACCACCATCCTACGTCTGTGTCTGTGATTGTCTGCTCTTGATACCTCCTGTAAGTGGGATCATACAGTATTTGTTCTTTCGTGTCTGGCTTCTGTCACTTAGCTTAATGTCCTCAAGACTCATTCACATTGCGGAATGTGACAGGATTTTCTTATAAGGCTGAATGATATTCCACTGTATGTACACGGCACATTTTCTTTATCCATTTATCTGTCGATGGATATGTGGGCTGCTTCCACCTCTTGGCTATTGGGAATAATGCTTCAATGAACCTGGTTGTGCAAATATGGCTTCAAGATACTGCTTTCAATTCTTTGGGGGTATATACCCCAAAGTAGAATTGCTGGATCATATGCTAGTTCTATTTTTACTTTTTTGAGGAACCTCCTTACTGTTTTCCATAGTGGCTGCACCATTTTACATTCTCACCAGCAACGTGCAAAGGGGGACAGATTTGTTTTTAAATAGAATAACCGTCAGTCTTAATATCAAACTGGCCCAACAGCCCTGCCTGCAATATCAAGTAGTGATTAACTGCTTAAAAATTTAACTCAACTAAAACGCTGGACGTAGGTCTTAGTTTCTATAATTAAAGCCAGGTACTATTTAAACATGTATTAAAGATTTATAAATATGGATCATTATCCCATTGTACGAAGAATCAACTTAGCAGTCATTTTTTAAAGAGACTACAACAAAGGACATAAAGATAAAGCCAGGGCTGAACCAGCAACAAAAGTATTAGGAGAAGTATTCCTGCTTCCCGAAAATAAGCGTAAGCATGCACATAAGTTGCACTCTTACCCTTGTTTTGGCATCAATTTTAGCTCCTCGATCAAGCAATAGTTTTACCATATTGGCGTTTCCTCGTTTTGATGCAACATGTAAAGGAGTGATGTCATTCTGTGGAAGAACAGGGAAAAAAGTACAGTGTTACCTGAGTTTAACCAAAACATTGCTTCCTAAACCTTCCCCAACACATCCTCACACTTTTCTTACCTTTTTAAAAAAATATCCATCGTGAATAGAATACTTCCCAACATCTCTATCTGACGGTAATTTTACTCAGAAGGAGATCTCAAAAAGGGATGAATTTTAAGGGACATGCTCTGTGGGGTAGGGTCCAACTTTATTTCATTTGATTGACATTATTGATGGATGAGATGGTGATAGTTTTTGTTCTAACATCCTGCACATTTAAGTCAACATGTCTTCCTATTAATGTGTGTGATGCACACTGGCTACTGAATGGTTGACTAAGTGGCTGTATTAGTCAGCTGAGGCTTACTGAAAGGAGTGTCATGTTACTCAGAGCCGGCTCTGGGTCATCTGAGTACAAGTTGTCAAGGAGAGACAAGAGGAACTCAAACTGGGAAGTCTGTCAGTGCCCTACACGGTCACAGGGCTTCCCACGCGCGATGGGCTAAAAAGCGTTCACAGGCATTTATTAGCAATTGCACAGAAAAATGACTATGTTGATTTTTTTTTTTTTTAAACTACTGTTGAGGGCTTCCCTGGTGGCGCGGTGGTTGAGAGTCTGCCTGCCGATGCAGGGGACACGGGTTCGTGCCCCGGTCCGGGAAGATCCCACGTGCCGCGGAGCGGCTGGGCCCGTGAGCCACGGCTGCTGCGCCTGCGCGTCCGGAGCCTGTGCTCTGCAACGGGAGAGGCCACAACAGTGAGAGGCCCGCGTACCAAAAAAAAAAAAACAAAAAACAAACTACTGTTGAGGAATAGACATATGGTCAGGACAATCTGACATTCCAATCAAGATCCCCTGGATACCATAGTCCTTTCCTCCACTCATCTGACGGGTGCTGTGATTATGTCCAGACTGTCAAGGAAATACGTGCACATAGTGAAAACATTCTCTATTTTGGCTCCTTCTTCTTGTGTAGCAACAACATGGGTTTAAGGTCTGCAGTTCACAAAAGTCAATTACACGATAAACGAACGAGGCACATAAGGGGTTACATTCTTGTCATGTGATGGCAGATACAATATAATAGCTACCAGGTATTGATTCATGTCCTGTGAATTATGCTGCACTGCCTTAAACTCTTTACTATCTCACTTAGTTTTCATAATCCTCACAATGTCACATACAATCGGAATCACAATGACCATCTTACAGATTAGAAACAGCTGGCAAAACCAAGATTCAAATTAAAATATGACTCTTAAGCTTATGCTTTTGAAAAAACGCTTTAAAATGAAAATTTTCAAACAGACACAAAGTTTGAGAGAAAGCCATAATGAGCTTCATGTACTCATCATTCTGGTTCAATAACTGTCAAACTTCTGCCAATATTATTTCTCCTATACTCCCCGCTATGTTTTCTGCCTGAAGGAGTTTAAGAGGAGAAGGAAAATCCTAGGCATCATATTATTTCACCCGCAATCACTGCAACTTAATTATCTCTAACTGATAAGGATATTTGTAAACAAATAATAACAATATCATTAATTTTATCCAAGTAAAAATAATTCTTTCAAAAAGCCAAGATCTGTCAATGTTTACATTCTCCCATTCTCCCCAATTTTCTCAGTACAGTGGTTCAGATTAGAATATCCACAACTTGCATTAGGTTGAAATGTCCCTTAAATCTCTTTTAAAATCTCCATAGATGCCCTATTCCGCCTTCTTTTTTCCATGCCCATATATTTATTGATTAAACTGGGGAATTTACTGTGTAGTTGCATCCTCACGGAGAGCTGTTTAACACATTCTTTTGTATTTTCTATAAGCTTTTCTAGTTAAATGCTTTTAGTCATTATACATTCTCCCGTGTGAACAACTCTTTACCTCATTATTCTTAGGTGCTAAAGTATAAATCAGTTCCACAAAAATTAGTTCGTTAAGTCAAAGAAGGAGAAAGAGATCTGAGTAAAAGCGATATGCCTTAGTCATGCTGGTGGGGAGTGGACAGGGCTAGTATGATTGCTCTAGACCAAGTGGTAGGCATACTTTTTCTGCCAAGGGCCAGATATCAAGTATTTCTGGCTTTGCAGGCCATACCATCTTCATTGCAATTTGTCAGTGCTGCCTTTGTCAGCAGCCCCACGTGACATGCACAGAAACGGGAGTGTCTGTGTTCCAATAAAACTTTATTTACAAAAACAGCTGGTGGGCTGGATTTGGCCTGTGGGCAGTAGTTGGTTGATCTCTGCTCTAGACCTATCAGCTTGTGGCTGACGGTTTCAACGGTGTGTAAAAGGTGACAAAAGAGGAATTAAAACTATAGAGGCTGTGCATTGTATATGCTTTGGCCCTCTTCGGGGTGGATGATTTTGCGTATGAATGAAAGCTGGCAGAAAGAAGCTTTCTGATGGTCTTGCTTGTCTCCCTTGTCTGAGTGCAAGTATGTAAATGAGCCAAGCAGCACTATGGGTGAATTCTAGGCCTGAGACAGCAGATACAGCATCAGATTAGGTCTATAGGAAACACAGTCCAACAGGAGAGCTTACCGAGCTCAGAGTGGGATACGACACAAAGACCTCCTCACTCCCCAGCGTGAGTCAGGGCTGACATGCTATTTCCCTATAAAGATGTGCCCTTGCCTGGTGGAGAAGGACTTAATTAACCTTTATCACAAGTAGGCTAATTTTAGTGAGAGGAAAGAGCTCTATTTCTCATTTTGCTCACTTCCATATTCATGGACTCTATCTTACGGTGATGTGTAGATGTCAAAAGGGTGCCTTGAAATTCAAACTCCCACATTTTTCTACACTGCTCTGACCCCTCCTAGAGTACTACTTTCTATTTCTACAGCACTTAGTAAGTGTTGTAAATTACTTATGTAATTTCATTTTATCTTCACAACAATCTACTGGAGATATACATCATTAATCCCAGTTGATCAATCAACCAAGGGATAGAACTGATCAGTAATCTGTATATTAAGAGACAACTAATGAGAGGCAGGGTCAGCATCAGAATTCAGTCTTCTAGATCCTCGGGGTAGGGGGTGTGTGTGTGGTATTTCCAGTCAGGGATCATAAAGGCTTTGCCTAAAGACTAGGTTTCTCATCTCCGTCAAATGGAGCTTCTGAGTGAAACACATACTTTTGTATTCCTGAATCAGGTAGCGACTGCTTCTGCCAATGAGGAACAAGTCAAAATCAAAGTGGGACCTTTGGACCAGTCAACAGGACATTTCTATTTCGATTCCTCAGTTAACCAATAAAAATCTTTTATGCTCTACTAGGTACCAGGTCCACTGCTGCATTTCCATTATACAAGCGGGTCACAAAATTATGGAATCCCACCCAATCAAAAGAGTCCAGTGATGTTAAAGACAAAAAGGCTTGTTTAGGAGGAACCTCATTAGCTGCTCGGGAAGCGTAAATGTGTGCCTGCTTTCTGGGATGCAGTTTGGCAGTATATATGAGGAACCTTCAAATCTACAACTGAGACAGGAGATAGATGGGCCCCAGGCTGGGCAGCTGGAGTTTGTCCCCTGTGGACAGATACTCCAAGATGAACATAATACAGGAGGGAGGAGAACCTGAGCCATGCCCAGATAAAAGAGACCACATATTCCTCATTCTTGAGGTCAAGGAGACCTTCCCAACTACACGTGTGCAGAAAGCCTCCTGGGGGGCCAAAAAGGGAGGGGGCACATCAGAGTAGGTGATGTCAACCTTCCCACAGGCCTCTGGGCTAATATCCATCTTGGCTAAGAGATGCATGCGCACATAGGGTAGGACCCTGAGTTTAACCCAATACAGACTCAGAGCCAGGAAAAGCAAGATGCTTGGCCAGAGGAAACCCGACAGAAATGCCCCATAAAAGTGATACAAACTACCACAAAGGCACGACTCTCTCTCTGAGTCTGCCCGTGTGTGTCTATTCACATGTACTCTTTTTCCTCCTAATATACAATTGACTTGTTTCACTACTTTCCGTCTCTTTGTGGAAACTCCTTTCTACAAAGCTGATAGGCCAGGGCCTTGTCATTGGTTACTGGCCCTCGTGATCTAGCGGCTAGGGTCCAGCACTCTCACTGATGCGGCCTGACTTCAATCTCTGGCCAGACTGAAGTCTGGCTTCAAGCCGCTGCAGGCTGAGGCCACCCGAGATCACAACCACGTATACAAGGCAGAGGTTGGCTGCCGTGGTAGAAAGGGCGAGAGTGCTGAGACAGACCCAGGCCTGAGGCCTAGGCGCACTCCCTAAGACTGAAGCGGATCCAGAATGAAAGACCCCTCAGCCCCAGCCTAACGTGACAAGCAACTGTAGCCGGCTCCTGAGGTCGGGCAGGAGCTTGGTGAGAGAGAGACTCTGTGCTACAGGGATGCAGGTAGAGCTGAGCGGGGGAAGCGCACCAACCAGGGAAAATCTCTGACGGCCGGCCCTCACCCTCAGCGTAAGGCGGTGCAGCCCCGTCTAGAGGACCGTGAAACATGTGGTGCAAACAAAATGTAAACTCGGCTCAACTCCGGACTCAACCGGCTCGGGCTTCCACATGTACAGCCTGACAGGAGAAGGAAGACACAGGCCGCTTCCAAGCAGGGATACTATTTTCCTCAGTGTCTGCATTCTATCTAGTGGAACAGGTGAACGACATGCAACAAAAGTTAGGGAGTCTACGTCAGATGGAAACACTTGATAAGAAAACCACACTATCGGAAATGAAGCATTCCCAACCTAAATGTCTGTCAACAGAGGAATGGATAAAGAAAATGTGGTCCATATATACAATGGAATATTACTCAGCCATAAGAAAATGAAATAATGCATTTGCAGCAACATGGATGGACCTAGAGATTATCATACTAAGTGAAATCAGACAGAGACAAATATCATATGATATCAGTTATACGTGGAATTAAAAAAATTGATATAAATGAACTTACTTACAAAACGGAAACAGACTCACAGACATAGAACACAAACTTAT